AACACCTTAGCACTACTTCAATCTAACCCCACTCTAGCAGTTTAAAGCCATTTCCCCTTGTTCTATTGCTCTATGCCCTTGTGAAAAATCTACTCAACACTGCAATCAGCTTCAAGATAGCTTTTCTTACCAGTAGCATTCTGGGAAACAAAGCAGGAACCTGGTCTTTCACATGGATTTGGTTCCTGCTACACCCACAGCTAAACCAGCCTGGGGAGAGGGAGGAAAACCTTGGGAATGGCTTTCTGTGACATCAACCAACACGAGTGGAGGGAGACCCCCATTAAAAAGCAGAGAGGACCCAGCTCTGCTGTCCGCGGTGCTGAGCAGCCACGGGTACCGATGCTGTCCGCGGTGCTGAGGGGCCGAAGGGAGGGGGCTCATCCCCACCACCCCTGGCTGAGAGCAGAGCCGAGGGTCTCTGGCTCCTCTCCCGGGCAGATACAGCAGGGTGGCAGCTGGATGCTGGGGGAGACACATCCTCCTGGACACGGAATGCTCTCGAGGGTCCCTGCCTGGAATACTGAGTGTATTTCTGGGGTCCCCAACATCAGAAGGACACAAACTGTTGGAGCAAGTCCAGAGGAGGACGTGAAACTGATAGGAGGACTAGATCACATCTAATTTAGATACAGGCTAAGAGAGTTGGGGCTGTGCAGCCTGGAGAGTAGAAGGTTGTGTGGAGACCTCAGAGCAACCTGCCAGGAGCTGAAGGGGCTCTGGGGAAGCTGCAGAGGGGCTCTTGATTAAGAGCTGCTGTGACAGGACAACAGAGAATGGCTTCAAACTGAAGGAGTGGAAATTTAGCTTGAACTAAGTCACTGGACCTGCTCCAGGAGGTCCAGGTCCCTCTGGTCCTGAGTAGCCCAAAGACAAAAGTGGAGCCAGTCAAACAAGTTAATTTTGGCCTTTTCTCACCTGGTACCCTTGAGCCATATAACAAAAGTACATCACAACAGCAATTAAAATGTACTGAGATGAGCTGCTCAGGCTTTAAGGGCAAGAGACATATAAATAAAGCCTGGAGACTCCTTTCCCACCCACAAAGATTCAGTGTCTCATCACTGTTCCTCTGTTAGAAAATTAAGGCAAAACTTCACACAGGAGAATTGTCACATTGGAATCATCAAGACTTGGAAGTAGCAGCAAAACTACGGAATTGTTTCAACTGTCTAATTTTCCTCCTTAATCTCATGATTCCTTTTCTACTTGACAAGTTTCTCATCAGCATTTCATGTTGAGAGCAAGTTTGCCACAGTCTTGAAGGCAACTGACGCTGCAAAACAAGTTCAAACACTTGACTCAAAGGTGTCATAATTAATGTTTTATCAAGCTTCTGAGCCTTAGAATCACACAATGAGGCTGTCTGTCTGAGCTGAAATGTGGCAATCACAGCTGAGCTGCAGGTTTTTGAAGCCAAATCCATGAAAGACACAGATGATCAGCAAGTCAAGGAGGGTTCACATCCCCCTCCAGCAGCCAAGCAGTGAGGAGCTGGTTGGTTGCAGTGCTGGTGTCTCACCCTACCCAGAGGCAAAGCCCATTTGCCTTGTTATCCCCAGCTCATGGGGATCAAATGGCTTAAAAAAGCCACTTAACTGGGAATGGTGAATCATAGAATCTTAGAATCAACTGGGTTGGAAGAGACCTCAAAGATCATCGAGTCCAACCCTACCACTGTTACTAGACCATGGCACTAAGTGCCACATCCAGGCACGACATTCTCCAACTTCCAATCATCTGGGACCTCCCCAGTGAGCCAGGACTGTTGGTCCTGGAGATGGAGAGAGGCTTGGCAAACTCTTCCCCCAGCTCCCTCATCACTCTGGGATGGATCCCATCCAGTCCCATAGATCTGTGAGGATCCAAGCAGCATGTTGTGGTAGAGCCAACCAAAAATCACCCCTGCTGCTGGCAAGTTTAGCTGTTATTCATCTAACTCAGTTTCAAACTCGACCTCACAACAACTTGTGGTCCTATGAACTGGTATAAAGAGAGATCTGAGTTACGTATTTCACTCCCCTCCTGATACGGGGACATATATTTGTTAGCCCATGAGTTCCCATTTATTTTTGAGTCATGAGATCCTTTCTGTTCTTCATTATTCAAGTAACCAACTCCTTTTCCCCCCCTCCAAGTAGTGTGTAAGATTCAAAGGATGCAGCAAAACTCAGCACCTGGAGGTCTGTGCTGTGAAAAGACGAGGATTAGCCTCAGGTAAATGAAGTGGTAGAGTTGTCACAGTGGTTTCTCAAGATCCTTTAACTTCTCTCTCCCACCTGTGTCAGTGCTTATTGCTAACATATTTTGATGCTCATTGCTTTCTACCTCTTGGGAAAACTTCAAATTTCAGTGATTTTTCAGAGAGAGCTTGCCAGACAATAGGAGAAATTTGGCAGACCCCAAGTTGCTCCGCATGAAAGACTACCAAGAGGCATATTAGAGCAGCGGCAGCACTGCTGATGCTAAAGCACTGGCATCCCAATGAATTTGCCCATTATTCAGAGGTCTGGTTCTGGAATGTGGGCCAAATTGAGGGCTTGGCAAGTGGAGATGTTCAACTGCTTAGTTAGCCCACAATTCCCCTCCTCTGCTTCCAGCTTGGAGCTTGTAAACACACAATTGGGTGTAAGATGACAGATGGGTCCAGGAGGGATTTCTCTGCTCAGATCTGTTCTCCTTGCTTACATTTACCTTCTACTCAAGCAGAAAATGTGGTTCAATGGTGTATTTAACCCTGCCCATGTCTTTATTTGGTTAAGACAACCAATTTCTCTCCCATTCCTACATCAACAGCTCAAGGTTAATTGTCCCTTCAACCACCTCTTAGGGCACCTGCTGAGCTCTCACACTGCAGGTTCCTCCTCACCTCCCACTGCTCCCTGCTTTGAATGCCTCACAGAACTGTGGTGCAGACAGAAAAACCGCCTAAATCAGTAGTCCTGGCTGGAAATAGTTTGTGAGGACCTTGAAAAAGTACAAGAACATTTGTCTGGAGTCACAGTGACTCATCACAGAGCTGAGGACCAGCCTGGGCACAAGTGTAGGTCCCACAGCCTCAGCTATTGTAATAATCAAGGACATACTAATTAATTAAGGGTTTCTTTGCCTTCAGAAATATTCCCTGCTTTTCCAAAGGTTAGTGATAGGCTTGAAATGAGAAGAGTGATGAATATTCCCCTCCTCCTTTGCATTAATTAAGTCAGACACAAGTGAGATGAGTGGGTGTTGCACTAAACAAGTTAAATCTCAATCCTAGTAATCCAGCCTTCGTTTTCCCACAAATACAACTCCCAGACACACTTATTTCACCCCCAAACAGCCAAAAGCATTGAACATGTATTATTTTCCAAGTGAGGTTAGTGATGAAGCTCTGAGAGCAGCCAGGAATGTCCCTGTGCAGGGTACGAGGGACCTCTTGTGGAAGCCAAGCGTTGGCTCCGTCCCAGCCCGGCGGCAGATGAACATTTATCTCACATTCAAATCTCTCATTAAAGGCACCAAACCCGTTTACTACATGAACATTAGTGTATAATCCAATATTCCAGCCCAGTCTGTCATTCCACTCAACAGCTCTGAGCACAGAGTGTCTAAGAATAAAGCAGTGCCCTCAGGAGTGGTTTGTTAAATGCTGTTTTAACCACAGTGGCATGAACATAAACCTTCTGGGAACAGCTCTCCCAACTTCAGTCTGAGCCTGGGTCAGGGCAAGAAAGAGGCAAATTGTCTCAGGAAGTCTAAGATCAGAGGGGGTTTTAGCATAGAAAAGCTCTGCTGGGTTGGTGATCTCCTTGGGCTTTACAACTTGGCAAGTGAAGGCAGAATTAAACTACTAAACTTCTCTCCCTTGCACAGAAGTTCCCTCTACTTGAAGAATATGACTAGCAGTGATTTCTGCGTGTTTGGTGTGAATTCAGAAGGCACCAAGCCCTGTCCTGCAGCCACCAACACACTCCCAAGGATCCAACCTGTCTGTTCACACCTCAGCAAACAGGGTGACACTTCCTGATCTTATTTAGCTGCTCTAACACACACTGGATTCAATGGATTCAATTCTAGCTCCTGTATTTCCTTTAAGCTACTGAATTCATGCCCTCCAGTCTGTGGTTCCCCCAAATCTGATGCATTGTGTCACAAAGCTGAAAGTAATATTTCTAGGCTCTATATTTACCTGCTGATTTATTGACCTGAAAGTTCCCAGTTCAGAGACAGTCCCAGAGCTGCTTGTATTCAAAAAATGGGCTTTATATTTGCATATTTAGTTTAGAATCACCTCAAAAAGAGAAGTCCAACCTTCAGCCACTGGTCACCCTGCCTGTAAGGTGACAGGAATATTGATTCCAAAGTCAAGTCGAATTTTGAACCCTTAAATCAACTTCTCAAAGTCTCATCTAACAAACATAAAAACCAACCAACAAACAACCCAAACAAGACAAAAAACCAACTCAGAAATCACATTTACTTGCAGGAAAAGCACCACAATGTTTTTTTTTGAGGACACAATACACTAAACACATGAGAACATCCCTGACTTTGGGTTTTGAACCCCTAAAATCAACTTCTTGAGGTCTCATTTAGCAAACATACAAACCAACCAACCAATCAACCCCAACAACAAAACAAAGAAAACCAAAAAAAACAACCTAGAAACCACATTTACTTGCAGGAAAAGCACCACAATGTGGATATTTTGGAGACCGCAATGTACTAGTCACATGGGAAGATCCCTCCTTTCTGCAGAAGAACACAACACCATTTGGAAACACCTTTTCCCACCAAGCCCATGTTAATATCTGCTGAGACCCAAGTCTAATGCACAGTCACACATTGAACTGTGCCTCCAAGAGGCAGCTCAGCCTGCAGGTTCATTTGAGACACTTCTCCCCTCAAAGTCCTTCTGTCACAGTTAACCCATAATGAGCTTGCATTCATCCAAACCCCTAGACAGGAACCCAACAAATAGCAGCAGAAAGGCAAAGGAGATGAATGTCTGTACTCACGGGTGTGCTGCTGTCAGAGAAGGTGTTCATGCTGATGGACCTGCTCATCTTGTCTGAGGAGAGGGAGGAAGGGGAGGGACTGCGCTTGTCCAGCTGCTCCTGGGCCAGCAGGTCCTGGCGCTGCAGGTACTCACGCCATGCACGTTGGATGCTGGGCAAACACCAAGGCACAGGCTCAGGGTGATCAGCAACGAAATGTACTTAAAATACATATTCTTGACAGAAGAGGTGAGGGTTTGGGGTTCTTCTTGTGTGTGTGCTTTGTTTGCCAGTTTAGATAATGATCACATGTAACTACTCTCTGTGGCACATAAATCACTGCTAGTGTAACTTGGAGGGGTCTGGCAAGTAGAATTATAGAATCCTACACCAGAGCTGGAGAATCACCTGAAGAAGCACAAAAGAAGCTACACAAAATGTACTACAAAGGCTAAAATCATTCCATGAACTAAAAGAGGGTTGAATTAGACTATGAGAAAGAAGTTTTCTTGATGAGGGTGGTGAGGCACTGGCGCAGGAAGCCCAGAGAGGTGCTGGATGCTCCATCCCTATAGACTCACAAGGTCAGGTTGGATGAGGCTCTGAGCAACCTGACCTAGTGGAAGATATCCCTGCTCATTGCAGGGATAACATCTCTAAGACACAGAGATGTGCTGTCAGGTATGGGTTTATACATCAACTGCTGGTAATTGTGTCAGACTGACAAGGTTTTAGCATTCAGAAGGGGTTGGGATTGAGGGGCTGAGAAGAACCTGGTCACAGTGAAGCACATGCTTCAGGGGATGTAATTCCTGGGCTAAGCTTTCCTTCCCCTTGCAATGCATAATCCACTGGGTTTACTGGGCCATGCACACACGGATTCATTCCCAGTCTGTTCACAAACTGGACTGCCAAGCCAACACTCAGTGCTCCAGAATACATCCCTTGGGTTGGACTAGATGGCCTTTAAAGGTCCTTTCCAACCTAAAACATGCTGTGATTCAATGATTCTATAGCATCAGGGAGTTGGAATTCATTCCCAGAGCACAGCGATGCTGCTTCTCTCTCCCTTCCCGGCGGTGCAGCTAGGTGTCATGCATGTGCCTTGGCTGAGTGCTAGCAGCTGCCTCCCTTCCCAGTAAAACCAGCTTGCTTAGTGCCACACAGCTGTGCTGCACTCCCAGAACACAGCCCTGGGCTCCCCCGGGCTCTGCATATCCATCCTTCCAGGGGCTGAAGCTGCAGAAGGATTCTTGGGTAGGAACTGCAGTGACAGGACAAGGAGTAATGGGGAGAAACTGAAAGAAGGAAATTTAGATGAGATATCAGGCAGAAGTTTTTGCTGTGAGGGTGGTGAGACACTGGCACAGGTTGCTCAGGGAGGCTGTGGCTGCCCCAACCCTGGCAGTGTTCAAAGCCAAGTTGGATGAGCCTTGAGCAACCTGTTCTGGTGGGAGGTGTCCCTGCCCAGGGCAGGGGGTTGGGACTAAGTACCACTCCAACCCCGTAACATACTATAAATCCCTTGTACATCCACAGCTGCTCCTTGAGGATCCCCTGAGCCTCCTGAGGTACTTCATGTTAGATGGGAGAAACACCCCAAAAGGGACTGTGCTTGCTCCATGCTGCACTTCCCTCCCCTGACAGTACAGATGAAAAATCAAGCAGCTTCTCAAATATTATTTAGCTTCACTGAGGAAATGGCAAAATTAGTGCAACACAGAGGTTCAATATTTAAAACATGGCTCAAAGAGGATGTTCATCATGGAATCCTAGACTGGTTTGGGTTGGAAGAACCTTAAAGCTCATCTCATTCCACCCCCTGCTATGGGCAGGGACACCTTCCACCAGCCCAGGTTGCTCCAAGCCACATCCAACCTGGCCTGGAGCAGCCACACCTTCTTTGGGCAACATGTGCCAGTGCCTCAGCACCCTCACAAGGAACAATTCCTTCCCAATATCCATCTTCTCCTAGCCTCTGCCAGCATGAATCCATTTCCCCATGGTCTATCCCTCCAGGCTCTTGGAAATAGTCTCTCTCCATCTTTCCTGTCATCTTCCTTCAGGCACTGGAAGGCCACAATTAGGTCACCACAAAGCTGCTCTTCTCCAGGCTCAACATTCCCAATTCTCTCAGCTTCACATACTTAAAAGTGGAGAAGAACTTACTTAACTTCTTAATTTGAGGCTCTTTTATAAAGTTACCCAGCAATCTAGGCTGGGTTCAATCTGGATTGAGCAGCTCGGGAATTGCACATACTCAGCTGAATTTGAAGGCAGAGCCAACACTTCAGTACTTACATTTTCACTTTGGATTCCAAGGGCTGGAGGTTGATATGATAGTTGTCAATGTTATTTTCATCATCCATGGTAAGTTGATGGCTATGGAGAAGAAAAGCAAATGGGTTTAAGACATCTCAGCATGACATTCTGGAAATCACTGTGATTTAATCCCAACATTTGGACAAGAACATCCAAGAGCTGCTTATTAATAGGTGTTGCTGTCTTTGGAGGAAGGATTCTGGGCCTTTGTGTCCAGCCCCGTTTGAATTCCAACAAATCCCATGAATTTGGATCCAGTATCCACATAGGAACCTGACTGAGTCGTTGTACTAAGCCTTCCAGATGTCCCAGCTCCAGAGATAGGTACACCCAGCAAAGAAGCTGCTGCAAACCAAACACCCCTGGCAAATCTGAGAGATATTGGTGCTAAATTAGCTTTACAGCCCTGGAGCTGGAGAGTAAAATGGAAAGGAACAATGGTAATGCTAAGAGCAAAGGAATTACAGCAGCAAAAGCCATCCAGGGGCATGAAAAGAATATTCTTTGCAAGAAATGATGAGTGAGGAGTTGGTGCTTGTGAAGTTATTGCAGTTTTAAAGTCCAGAAGATAAAAATCAAACATGTAGGGCCACTTTGGATGAGAGCAGCAACATGAATGGCAGGGCTTGGCATGAAGATTGGGAAGATTAGACCCCAACCTGTGCAGTTACTTTGAGACCTTACTGGACACTTAATTACATCCCTCAATCAGCAGAAGTTTGCAAGAATTATCCTCCTGGAACTAGAAATAAGAGTTTACGGGAGAGCTGCAAAATGGGGAATAATTAGTACATCATCAAGTGAACAATGTAGTCTACAACAAAGACATGGTCCCTCAGCAAGGTCTTGTTGCCTTCTACAACCCGTTTCATCATGTATGAGATAGTGTGGAAACCACATTTACCTTTGAAGCAAATCTTTGCCATCATTGACCTGTTCCAAGGTGTGTTGGAGCCTTCTGATTTCTTCCTATGGGAAAGAAAAAACATTTCAATGAGCTGAAAGGAAACCTATGGTTGACATTGGAGATTCCCACTCAATCTCAAGTTGTTGTGAGCTAAGCACCAAACACAACAGTCCATCAGATAACATCTATTAAGCCACTTTGACATTGAAATACCCAAAATAACTCCAAAGACACCAATTTATCTATCAGTATGTCCAGCACAAGTTGGAAATGAAACAGTAGACCTACAAATATAATACTCAGAGCAAAAGAGGAAAGTATTCTTTCATGTCTTAGGTGTGTGGCTGCTTTGATTCCAGAGCTGGTCTTGGTAGGAGCAGCAGCTCATTCTTTCAGGCACTTCTCTTTGTTCTGCAATCAAACACTATTCAGGCTCATAATTAAGAGTCACTGGCTGAGATTTAAAGCCTTTATCAGGGTATTTGCATCAGCTCCTGTGTCAGGAGCAGAGATGGCACAAATTTAACTGCAGATGCCTAGCTGGGAGTCCCTTCATCCATGCTAATGGCCTGGAAAGATCAACATGGGATATTCAGCACAGATTTGGCTTAAAAAAGCTAAATTGGGTCAGAATGACAAGATTTTCAGAAGGGTTGGAGGTACCATTCAGGTGGTGCTGGAGATATCACCCAGGACGGGTTGGAGTTGAGAGCTGAAGGAGAACCTGTTTGCAATGAAGCACATGCTCCAGGGGATGTAATTCCTGGGCTAAGATTTCCATCCCCTTGCAGGGCATAATCTCATTGGGCTGTGCACACACAGACACATATTCCCAGTCTGCTCACCAACTGGACTGACAAGCCAACACTCAACACTCCAAGCACCTCCCTGTGATGGAATGCAGGACCATCACACCCCTGAGACACACGGATGTGCCTCCAGGTTTGTGTTTATACATCAACTGCTGATAATTAACTAACAGTGGAGGATGCAAAACACAAAGATGTTAACTCATGGCTGATTTTAGCTCATTAAGCTGGGAACTAAATGGAAAAGCTAAAGCTACTGAGAGTGAGGAAGGAGAATAATTTGCTTCTCCCCTGCCTTGCAAACAGGTAGAGGATCCTCATAAAAGCCAAGAATATTAAAAAGGCAAAACAAAGACGTTATTTTCCTGTATATCTTATCTGATATGGGGATGATTTTTGCAGTCTCCAGCAGCACAACACACCAGCCAGTTCCACTTCTGCCTTCCCAATTCAAGCTGATTTTGTGAAACAGAGACATTTTATGTGGCACTTTTGAATCCTGTACAGATTTTACCCTGTTTGACATGAAACAAATCACAGGTAGCTGAGGAACCTCTACCAGAGCTTTGATTTCCTCCCAGCCTGGGAAGGACTAGCACTGCAAAATAGATTTGATGCATAAAGTAGAGTTGTCAAGTTGACAATGTAGATGTTTCCTCAGTCTCTGCCCCTCTGGGTCCCTAACTGTAGCCCCATCTGGGGATCCCAGTGCAGCTGATAAAGGCCTGGGGGTTATTTGGGAGGTCTGGCTGCTGCCTGACTCTCCTCAGTGACTGGAAATGATCCAGGCAGGAAATTTCATAGAATGTTAAGGGGTTGGAATGGAACTTAGAGATCATCCAGTCCCAAATCCCTTCCCTGGCAGGGACACCTCCCACCAGAACAGGTTGCTCAAGGCTTTAGTCAACTTGGCTTTGAACACTGCCAGGGTTGGGGCAGCCACAGCCTCCCTGGGCAACCTATGCCAGTGTCTCACCACCCTCACAGCAAAAACTTCTGCCTAATATCCAGTCTAAATTTTCCTCTTTCAATTTCTCCCTATGATTCCTTGCCCTGCCACTGCAGTGCCTGACCAAGAGTCAGTCTCTCTGCAGCTTCCCTGGAGCCCCTTCAGATACGGATAGGCTAATAGGAGGTTTCCACACAGCCTTTTCTTTTCCAGGCTGAACAGCCCCAATTCTCTCAGCCTGTCTTCATAGGGGAGATGCTCCAGTCCTCTAATCAGCTTCATGGCCTCCTCTGGACTTGCTCCAACAATTCCATGTCCTTCTGATGTTTGGGCCACCAGAGCTGTGTGTAGCACTCCAGGTGAGGTCTCACCAGTGCAGGGGGAATCCCCTCCCTCACCTGCTGCCACACTCCTTTTGCTGCAGCCCAGACCTGGGTTGTTTTCTGGGCTGGGCTCACACTGCAGCTCATGGTGAGCTTCTCATCCACCATCAGGCCCAAGTCTCTCTCCTCATTGCTGGGCTCAGTTACTTCCCCACCCAGCCTGTGGGTGTGATGGGATTTCCATGACCCTTATGTAGATCCTTGCACTTCATTTTGCTGAACTCCATGAGTTTTGCATTGACAAACTTCTTGGTGTTTTTGCCTTCCTTTTTTTTCCCATGCTCTAAGGCATATTAAACCAAGCAACTTTCAACCTTGTTCCATTTGCAGCACAATTGAGTTCAGAATCTAACCAGAGAACCTTTTCCTCTCCCATATTATTCCTCTGGTCACTTCGCCAGAGCTATGTAGAGTAATTTAGAATGTGCCAACAATTTTCAATTGACTTTATATATAACTGGGGGTGACAAAACCTGCAGGACTTCCATAAATCATTCCTAGTGTTTGACATCATTTTCTATTAACCTCAGGGGGAAGACTGAGCACACACCCAAAAAGTCCAACCCCAAATTAGTTTTGACATTTTGGCCTATTGAGGCTTTCAATTAAGCAGCACTGGCTAGTGTTTAGAACAGCTGGAATAAAAGGCAACTAGGGAAGGGGCATGTTTGCATAATTGGGAAGAGAAGGAGACAGAAAATCCATACTAATTTCAGTTCTGCGTCATTAACCAGAGGGAATTGATTAGTGCTCCTTGCAGCTGGATTTATGGAGGTGGTTATGCTGCTGTGCCCATGGAAAGGGGTTTGGATGCTGTGCCCTCAGCCCCCAGTATGTCCCTGCTAGTGGTAATGCCAAGCCAGAGCCTGTGGAGATGCAGCTCCCACCCAGGGTGACCCAGCTGCAAACTCAGCCTTCAGGAAATGAAACTGGAAGAGCTCCAGGCTCCTGTTGGAATCCAGGATGAATTGTGATGCCTCTGTAAACTCAGCTATAACATGAGCATATTGGAAAATTTACTGCAGTTTTCACTTTCCTACTTCAGCTAAATACAGACATAAACAGCAACTGGGTAGATACAGACACTGAGACTGAGGAGGAAGTGCATGGCTGGTGTCCAGAGCAAACTAACATGTTGTTTTTCAGTCTTTAATGTGCTCATTCTACTTAGGAATCAATTGTTTTTCAACCTGAAGACCTGCATTTTCAGGAAAGTAGAATACTGCAGTGAAACCCTTGAGAAGCAACTGAGGGAGCTAGAGAAAAGGAGGCTCCATATCCTCCAGCACCAGATTCTGATGCCTCTTAAACATGTCCAGGGTCAGGCACTCCATCACTTCCCTGGGCAATAATCCAGAACCACAGAACCATCGAGGCTGAAGAAGATCTCTAAGGTCATCAAGTCCAACCATTAACCTGTCACTGCTGTAAACCCAAAACCATATCCTCCAGCTCCAGATGCCTCTTAAACACTGCCAAGAATGGTGACTCCACCACTTCCTTGGGCAATATTCCAGTGCCTGAACACCCTCACAGGGAAAACATTTCTCCTAACATCCAATCTGACTCTGCCCTGTCTCAGCTCAAGGCCATTCCCTCTAGTCCTCTCCCTGCAGCCATGGCAGGAGAGACCATCTCCCACCTCTCTCCAAGCCCTGTCAGGGAATTGCCCTTGGCCTTCTTGGCCACCTGTGAACACTGTTGGCTCCCATTGAGTCACTGCCACCAGCACTGCCAAGTCCTTTTGTGACCAACACCTCTCTTCCCGCTCCCCCCCCAGCCTGGAGCTCTATGTTTGGTTGCAGGAGCTGCTGAGCACAAGGATGCTGGAAAGGAGCTGGAGAGCAGAGCGCAGCCCAAGCAGTCCCTTAAAGAACAACTATGACCCACCATCCTGTTGGTGGTACACAGAGATGGAGTTAGTGCTGAGAGCTTTAATTTGGACCTAGCAATAAAGCTCAGAGGAGCTTCCCCATCTGCTCTTGCCAGCAAATGTCTCAGCCTATCTTATCCTTCCAGAGCTGCATTTAAAGACCTATAAGTTCTTCTCCATATCACTGACACAGACATGGTGAAAAACACTCAGTGCTTACACAGCAGCATCACTGAAGTGGTGGCACAGCCAGGGCAAGCAGAGCTGAAGGCAGCCTGAAGCCAGAAGCACAGCAATGCCTTCTGCCACTGTGACCAGGAGCCATGCAGGATCCTTCCTCAGATCAAAGCCACCTGATGCCTCTTTCTGTTGCCTATTGGGAAGCCAATTTACAGGCTTTAACATACTCACCTCCTGCCACTTTCCAATCCTGTGCTCAGCAGAGGGAGAAAGAAGATATGCAGCTCTCTCTGCTGCTGCTCACCTCTCCCTGTCCACTGTGCCAAACCACCTTTACCACCATTTCTGAACCATCTGCCATTCCTATTCCAGCATAGAAGCAACAGCCTCATCTGCTTTTCACACCCCACAGCTGCTCTGGGTTTGCTCTCAACCCATTGCCAATGCTGCTCTGAGCTGCTGCAACCTTTGCTTTTAGCACTCTATTTCCCATTCAACAAAGAATTCCTTCCCCCTTTTTTGTGTCCATGAAGCATCTTGGATTTCATTCATTTAATATGTTTTGATTTGATTAATTTTAATTTCTACTTTGCCTTGTTATCCCAGGGAACACCATGGCCCTGTATTAAATGATGTGGAGGCTGTGGCTCAGCCTGACAAGCAATGTGTTAATTAAGCCTCTTAGCAGGATACAATGAGCCTAAAGAGGATAGGAAGATCAGGATCCTTTGCAGGGAAGGATTTTACATGCTCCAATTTTTGGGCACCCATTCATGCTGGTGCGGAATCACTGCTTCCATGGGAAAACCTCTGGATGGCATAAGCAGCTCCACAAGTTCCTGTTCCTTCTCGGTACATAACAGGTGGG